CCTCAGCTCTGAAGTTAGTGCAGATGTCACCTGTTGGTAGAGAGAGAGTTTCTGCTCTATTTTTAGGAGGTTTAATGTATATTCCAAAACCTCCCTTTCTGACTGCATCTGTAGCAGAGCCGTCGATGAAAGCCTGAGTCCAAGTGGTGTTTGGATACTTCTCATCTAGCATAGCAAGAGCCAGGGTTCTCTGTTGTGTCTCCGTCTGGGCATCTTTTGAAGTGATCCCTGGTACCTTTAGGACTACATTTGACTTCTCTGGCCTGCTTGTCCATGGTTCTGGCCAGTTTTTCGCACAGTGCAACATCACTTTCAAGCAGATGTTGGTGCTGTCTGTACAGTTCTCTAGCAAGGTGGTTGGAGCTCTGACGCTTCAGTCTGTTTTTCGTTCTCTCTTGAAATTTAAAATGCAGTGGGTGACTTTGAAGTCTTTTTAATTTCCCATACTGTAAAAGAGTTTTGTATTGTCTTCTGAGTTCGAGTGGTTCCTCATCTTCTGAAATGCCGCCTTCGCCTAGCCAATTCTGTTCTTAATTTTTGCCACACATCGTCCATCTGATATTGTAAATGTCCCCAAATACTTAAATTTATTGGCTTGGTTAAACACCTTTGCCTCTACTGCAATGAGAGGCTCCCACATGAGGAACATTTTTGTTACATAGGTTAAAGTTAGTTGTGTATCTTTTACAGGACGTTGCAGAACCAACACCAACATTTATTGGCTGTTGTAGTTTTTCTAGGCAAACTTTACGTTGAGTAGATTGCCACTGTTTTCTCAACGGTTAGCTTTCAGTACCACTGTCGAAACCAGCGCAAGACAAATCGTCCGCAGCAGGAATCGAACCCCCCCCCCCTCCTTTCCCCACCGGCAATTCGAAGCGCGCGCCCAACGCCTAAGAGACAGGCGCCGACTTTACAAGGCAAAGCCCTTTTTTTTTTCCTATGGGAAGGGATGGGGAGATTGACTAGTATCATAATCATGTAGCAGGTCCTTTGCAGAACGTCGCTCTCATCATAGTCTGCCTAAAAGAAACTCGGTCTCTCGCCAGTTCTCCTGCCTCATGAACTTTCACACTCAAGGAGTCACTTATATCCTGCTCCCATCTTCGTGTCGGTCGGCCCCTGCCCCTCCTTCCTGGTACCATGCTTTCTGCTATAATTATTTCAAATCCGTCGTGGCGCTTGATATGACCAAAATATTCCAGCTTTCGAGAAAGGATGCTGTTTATTAGCCAAACTTCCTTGATGTTCAGATCTTTTAAGATGTCAATATTTCTCCTCTTCTTTGTCCAAGATATTCTGAGAATCTTTTTATAGCATTTCAGCTCAAAAGCCCCTATTCTCTTTCTTAAGGACTGAGAGATAGTCCACGGCTCACATCCGTATGTAGCCACAGGGAAGATGCATGCTCTCAAAATTATAATTTTTATCTCCTTGCTGGTGCTTAACCATAGACTTTTAAGGCTGTTCAATTGACTAGTATATATTATTTTAGTGATTTAATGAATTAATGAGTCATATTTTTAGAAATGGCGTTCACCAATTCTCGGACTATCCATGATTCACTTTTTTATATCAGGATAGGATTTATTTAGCTCTTGGAAATTCTCTTACTCGTCTTAATTGACAAAAGAAGATTGCATAGAATATTTGTCATTTTTCTTTCTTAATGGCATAAATAACTAATAATCTTCCTACCCTCTCTTGTGATTTGTACATTTCCAACTCCTTTTCCAAGTGACCCCTCAACTCCTTCTCCTTCTGCTGATGTTTTTCAGAAGCTGATTGCAGATTTGTCAAAGTTTTCTTGAGTTGTTCCACTTTGTTACCATCTGCCTGTTTTTTGTAAAACTGAAACAATGACACAAATGTGACAATTGTCAGTTTGAAAGACATTCATAAGCACAAATGATAGAATTTTACTTGGGTATGATGAGTAAAAAAAAAGGAAAAGGTCTCTTTTCCACGCCTTTAGGCGTATAGGGCATATAGGGTTAGACTTATATTTCTGAAGATTAATCGGCACAAGATGGGTGTGGTCAGCATCACACCGGCCTCCTTTACTTCCCGGGACTGCACCCGGTACCCACTCAAGCTGGGTCGACATGGGAGTCAAGGTCATTTTCGAACAAAATTCCGGCTCCGCCAGGAAGCGAACCCACGACCTAAGCTGGGTAAGAAACTGGTTAAACGAGGCAAATGGATATGGGAGTGCAGCTAGCAAGCTGCCAGACAAGAACATTTCAAACACAGCAGAAAACGTTAGATTAAGCAACTTAGAACAGAACTGACTTGTCAACTCACTCTCGTGGAACTAATGAGGCTGAGATTGGGTAAACTATGGATCTGTCGAAAGTGCTATCATGATGGTCAAGCAGGGCTATTTTTCATTCAAACAATGATGTGTAAAAAGGTGCGGGTACTGCGCACCATTCCGTACCACCGTAAATAGAGATCCTGGTCCTAACTAATCATCAATACCAATTGCAGACCAAATCAACCAACTTTTTATCTATAAATAGCGCAGACAATCTTGGGAGTGTCGAAACGTTATGTGTGTTATTTTGTAAAAGTTTCTTTATATAATTGTACAAGCAACTTTTGACATGTTATCTTAACAGATAACAGACCGTTGTCCTGCCAGTGGCGCAGTGGGCATTAGATAATTAACACAGTTGTATAGACCAAGTGGTCCTCGATGGGTGATGTAGCCAGTATTAGGCCGGCCGCCTTCACTTTCCAGGATCTTACCTGGTAGCCATTTTATGCGGGGTTAACTTGAAAAGCCATGGTCATTCCACACACACACACACACACACACACACACACACACACACACACACACACACAAATCCCATTCAATGAGATTCGAACTCAAGACCGTTGGCCCAGCAGGCTTTACCATCACCGCTCCACCGCTGTCCTATTTTTGTTTTCTTGAAAAAAAAATCCTACTGTGTTACCTCATCTTCTAAAGCCAGAATTGTGGACTGAGCATTCAACAAGGCATTTTCTAGTATGTCCACCCTGGCCTTCTGCTCCGTCAGAGATAAAGTGAGCTGAGAGTTTTCTGCCTCTAACTGATCTAACTAACAACGATTGCTTGAAAGAAGCTAATAAAAGTAGATCTCTATTTACAACAATAAGAAAGAGACAAACACTGTTCTTCGGTCACATAATGAGAAGAGAGACATTGGAGAACATCATGACAACTAGAAAGATCAGTGGAAAAGGAGTAGAGGCAGACAAAGAGAGACGATGCTGGATGGGCCGAAACTATGGCAGGGAGGGATATTATCAAGACAGCTGTTTCAGGCAACCAGGGATCGTAATCTGTGAAGACGCATGAGCGCCTATGCCAGTTGGCAGGGCACATAAGGATGATGATGTACTTGTATTAATCTGTTGAATTTCTTTTCAGCGTAACTCAAAATGCAAAGTTTATTTTTTTTTCTTAAACTATTGCCATTTTTCTCCATATACCGTTGTGAATCCGAATTTTTCAACTATAACAATCCTGAAAACAAGGCGGCGCTGCCAGCTTAAGGTGGACAGTGATCCCCGCTGTTCTTTGTCCGACATCAGACCAAAAATAGCAGATATCATCGAGACAAAAAAAAAAAAAAAAAACTTACCAAAAAAAAAAAGTGTCAACCATTACATTGCTATTTGGACATTACTTTACCAGCTGTTGGCGATTGTTTCTTTTATGTTTTTTAACATGTTTTTTTGCTTTGTTAATTTTGTGGGATCGTATTGTATATTTTTTGAAACCTATTGATGAACTGCATTGTTCTGCTTTAAATTTGTGTATTGAGATGGATTCTGGAGAACAGGACAGGATATCACAGACAGCGTTACTTTGGGGAAAAAAAAAGGGGGGGGGGGAGACAACCGGGATATAGAAAAACATATTTGTTGTTTGATTTCGAATGCTCAGGTCAGACCGTCAAGTGGGGTACCTCTGTGAACTGGCACATCAGCTGCAGGTCCTGCATGGTTACCCATAGCTTGCTGTGCACACTTTGCTCTTGAGGTTAAGTTTCTCTTCGTATGTGTTGTGTGTAGTGAGAAGAGACGAAGCTGACGTTTCGCCAATAATAATAAGAAAACTCCACAGGGAAGCAGACACAGCAGGAGTCTACCGGTCGTCAGTAGTAAACCCTCCGTCGACAGTCGTTTGGGCCAGTTACCATCCTAGACAATCTCGGAAGGTGGGCCAACCTGGATCATGACGCCAGGCCCCAGTATGTCCTGATGCGCTTAATCGGACACGTTTGGACAGGACGAAGGTGATTCAACTGGTGAGATTTGGTTCTATCGGTATTGTCATCATAAACACCTGAATTTAATACTTTTACAAAATGAGACCAGCCTACTTTCTTCCATGGCAAATTATGCTTGCTCGGTAGACCTGATGCGATGGAATTGATTCTCTAGTGTCTAATTCTATCGATTCCAGAGAGTTATTCTTTAAACTTTTTCTATTCTATGCATTTGCTAACAAAAAGTGTGAAATGTTCAGTCGTGAGAATTTACACAAGAAACATTGTGAGATAGAAAGACTTATACTAACAAAAAGTATACAATAAGTTAATATAGAAATTACCAGTTATAGAAGAATGCGAGACAGATTTGTTATCTTTGACATGACCAAGAAACGCTTAGTGCTCAAAGAGTTAAATTCTCTGACCAGGTGCCAACAAACCGACAGATGGGTAATGAAGTCATCTAAGGCATACACACTCACAAACACAGAGACAGACCTAAAGTGCTTGAATATATTCCGTTTATGATATCGAAATAATTGCATGGGATGAACGGAAAGGATGAATTGACTGTGAGCCCTATGTGCCATACAACGGTACACATGACGACGTTAAGATACAGAGGCATATTCTGTAGACTTCACCTACTCTGAGACAACAGCTTCGATATCATAGAATCCTTCTCAACCAGCCTGATTCTGCTGTCTCCGTGTGCTGTAAAATAAAAATTCACTTTTAGCCAAGAAGTTAAAGAGTTAAAATTTTCTCTATATTTGATAGTATGTAAATTCTTCTTCTTCTTCTTCTTCTTCTTCTTCTTCTTCTTCTTCTTCTTCTTCTTCTTCTTCTTCTTCTTCTTTTTCTTCTTCTTCTTCTTCTTCTTCTTCTTCTTCTTCTTCTTCTTCTTCTTCTTTTTCTTCTTCTTCTTCTTCTTCTTCTTCTTCTTCTTCTTCTTCTTCATTTTTTTAAAAATATTCTCCTATTTTAAATGCAAATTTCTTTTGATATATTTACCCGCCTTCATCCCACTCCCCAAACCGCCCCGTCCCCCTTTTTCCTTGAGGAAATTTTGATGTTATTATTACTATTTATGGTATATTATGTCATGGATTTAAAAAAAAATAATCGACAGTATATTTTACTTATCCATATCCTTACAAGGGAAGCCGCCATGGTCTAACAGCTAGACGCTCGGCTGCGGATCGGAAGGTCGTGCGTTCGGTTCCTGACAGGAACCGGTCTTTTTTCCAGAAAAAAAATTACTTCGGCTGCCTGGTCAACCTGAACGCAATAGTGTCCTTTGCTTTTCCTAGTTTATATACACTTGCTTGTCCTAGTTTGTATACATTTACTTTACCATACATTTACTTTACCTAGTTTATATACACTTGCTTGTCCTAGTTTGTATACATTTACTTTGCCATACATTTACTTTACCTAGTTTATATATATACATTTACTTTAACTAATTAATATACATTTACTTTACCTAGTTTAAATACTTAAAAGACGTAAATATTTTAAACATTTAAGATATTTCGAGGCCCTTTTGTGAACAGTGCGGAAGCGCATATATATCATTACGGACTAAGTAGAATGGCGCTGCGAGGAATTACCAGGGGATCTGACCGACGATCAACACTCAAGGGGAAGGTTGAGATGGTTATTCAATCAGACGGTTACTGATACCATCGGAATTGGAACTCTTAGCTTGCTGTTGAAGATGACGACTGAGCACTTATGTGAGTGTCCCCAGTGCTGTGATGTCGATTCTTAATTAAACATTCAGCATTCAAATATTTTAACGTTCTCCTAAATTAGCTGCTGCCCTTTAACATGGTAGGTGCCTCAAGGTTTTACATATCTTACGTCTTCATCAAGTTCTAAATCCGGCCCCGTTTATCACCACATCCCCATGACCCTCGTGTATTATAATGTAATATTCACCTCAAAGAAATAACTCACAGCTAGGAACAAAAAGACATTAACAGCATTCCAACGTGTTTGCCTGACACATTAAAAGGTCATTAGGTCTGAAAATAAATGGGCCGGTAAAAGGGTAGCTAAAAATAGAAGCGTGAAATATAAGAGTGTTCCACCAGAGGCGTATCGGGTTGTGTGTTAGTCGAGGTTCAAACATCACCTCAAGCGGGTTGCCCAACAACTGCTCCATTCGTGTGCGAGTATGCTTTGAGGTTTGAGGTACTAAAGAACGGATCAACATTATGGCACACAAGTGTAACCTATAAGTGCTCTTTCTTCATCCAACTCAAGTCTGAGACTGAAGAAGGTCAGCACTGTGAACAAGGACCAGAAATACTTTGGGTAGATTTTTAACTCCAAATTTTGTCGTTAGGCTACTCTTTTCGATTTCCAACTGCAAAGGGATTTTTTACATGCGCAACAATGCACATTGGCGTTTGATCTCACCACCCAGAGATCAGGAGTAATTAAAGAAGCCAAAGTTCACGTTTAAAAATACCAGCCCTTACCGGGGAATGAACCCGGAAACTCTAGCACTCGAGGCGGAAACCATGCCTCGAGACCACGCAACCCCCGTGTGTGCGAGTGGAAATCACACACCATGTCTTATCGTCTCATTTGTGATTTGAAAACCAGTTAAACACTTGTCAGCAGCAGCAAAATTTTGAAGCTTGCACATACACAGTTAAAACGCATAAGGAAGCTATCGGATGTGCCGAAACTAACAGTCCTACACCAGAATTGCAAATAACTGTTGGCCCACACGGTCAGTCACGAGAACACCCGCTAAAGAATTCGTCATTCTGAACGTAATCGGCACCTGGTTTAGGATGCTAGACTCATATATCTTATGCAGTAATGGACACTCAATGGATAATGTGTTCAACAACATAAGTTCATGTATTATGTAAGTTGTACCCTACCAGTACATCACACAAAGCGATAAACACCCGGTGACACAAAGTGCCACAATGCGGTCGAGGATCACCCGTTGAGAGGTCCCAGAAACCCCGTTTAGCCGTTAGGCCATGTTTATCACCCGGCTATATTTAGGGCGCCCGGGAAAAGTCAGGGCGGGGCTTTAAAATAACTTAAAAATGCATCCCACATGGAGATGACGAGATTGCCTATTACAACAACATAAGCTGGCCGCCATTGCTTTATACGCCATTTTTCTCAACCTATTTCACCATGGTTTTCCCATTCTGATTGTGGGGCCCCATTTTGATGGGAAGGGGGCTGGGGGGGGGGGGGGAAGAATAACCACACTGTCTTTTACGAAGCATGTAATAAAGGCGGGTATTTCATTCGAAGCCGGCTTTCATCTGCATGAGAAGCGAGGAACTAACAGTCTGCATACATATAAGCCAAATCTGTAAAACGCAAGTTCTGAAGCAAGACTAAAGTCCAGAAGTGGACCAGCAACGATAATTTTCCGCCGGGATTTATAGCCGATAAACACCAAGAAGAGGCATGAGAAGATGCTGGGCTGATCAGTAAGCCCACAGCCGTATCTTATAGTCCATGCCGTGTGGCGCTGATTGTCTCTCTATAACCCTACTCTCTCGCGTAGTTTTAATCAGCTCTGACACAGATGATCTTCCATGCTCCATGCCGTATGGCGTTGATAGGTCATGTCTATCCCAGTGGCGGGGCGTTATTAATTCTCAAGTGTAAGCGTTACACAATTACGATTACACCACAGGGGGTATCTGTGGAGAGTATTCGTGCGCAGCTAGCATCGCAGTCCTAGTAATTGGTAGCTGTCATACTTTACAGATGCTTCATCAGAGGCATGCAGCAAGCAATCTTTTCACTATGTTCGAAACGTAAACCAAGTGGCGTATATAAAATAAATAGTAGACAGTTATAACAAATAGTAAAATATAAACTTTTCTTTTGCATTGGAAAATGTGTGCGGTGATTGCAACTGCTACATGCCTTGCCTAGTCACTGGTCTGTCCACATCCTTCTGTCTCCTGTATTTTCAGTAAATTCTGACATAGATTATCTTCCATGCTATGATGTCAAACTGTGAAGCATCTTATTTCTAGGTCTCCCTCTGCCCCCTTTCCTCTCGAACTATATCACTGACACGAAGTACTCCAGTTTTTTTCCCCTTCTCATGACACGACCAAATAACGTAGTTTGTGTTATTCTGACGAACTGATGTGTGACAAGGCATATGTTGTGAGGGCCCTCTGGGAGCGAGTGAACAGTGCAGAAGCGCAAATAGATCATTGCGGTCTGAGAAGAATGGCGCTTGAGGAGGTACCAGGGGATCTGGCCGATACTCAACACTCAGGGGAAAAGTGAGACGGATATACAATCATTTTCTGGTGCCATTAAAATTGGAACTTTTCGTCTGTGCTGAAGATTGGGACAGAGCGCTTATGGGAGTGTCCTGATTGCTGTGATTTTGACGTTCGCAGTCAGTTCTTTTCGTGAGTCAGTTTCTTTTAAAACATCTTCATAACTTATTTTTTTCAATCTGCCCAGATTGTTCTCAACATTTGTCTATAAAAATACGTCCACAGCGATTGCACATAATTTGTTTGTCTATAAGTAGCCAAATGTCCATCGTTCGCTTCCTGAAATCAGGATAGGATTGATATAGCGCTTGAATATGCTCTCTCATCTCGACTGACAAAGAAAGCTTGTAAATAATATTTTTTCTTTGTCTGAAATGCTGCTCTTCTGGAGATATTCTATATATAACTTCCTTAGTTCATCTCCATCTATCAGGGTACCAGTGTAATTAAACGTATAGACGTTCTTCAATACTGAGTCACAAACTGTGATCCTGCATTTTGGTGGGTACATTTTGTCTTTGTAATTACCATTACTTTAGTTTTTCTGCTGTTCAAACTAAGACCCTTGTTTCATTTTTAGTAAAGTAAAGGTTGCTTTTCCACACATTTCAGGCGACAATGGTATATAGGGCTAGACCAATATTTTATAGACAAACGGCACAAGATGGGTAATGTCATCAGCATCACGCCGGTCGCATTTCATTCCCAGGACTGCACCCAGTACCCACTAAAGGCTGGGTCGACCTGGGAGCCAAGGTCATTTTTGAAAAAAGTCCGGCTTCGCCAGGGAGCGAACCCACGACCTTCCAATCAGCAAACGAGCGTCTAGACGCTACGACATGGCGACTCCCTTTGTTTTGACTTCATTTTTACAATTGTGTCCATCCTAAACTGCAGTGATTTCATGTTCAGCGATCAAAACTATATCGTTAGAACATCCAGGGGTACTCATCATGTCAATGAAAATCAAACTGTCGGAAATTAGATCACAAGAACTGCGCCAACTGAGGTTTGAGGTTTGAACAACAACACAGCACACGGGTAGTAACCCATTAGTGCTCCGTTTTTCTTCTAACTCAAGTCTGAGTCCGAAGAAGCATAGCAAAGCGCAAAGGCTCTGTAGCACCGGCGAGGATAATGAAATACTTTGGGTATATTTTTAACTCAAAATTTTGCCGGGGCAGCGCCGCTAGGCTACTCTTTTCGATTTCAACTGCCAAGCGATTTTTTACGTAAGCAACAATGCACACGGGTGTCCGACCTCACTACACAGAGACCAGGGATTAGAAGTTCAAGTCGACGTGAAAAAATTCCAGCCCTTACCAGGGATTGAACCCGGAACCTCTAGCACGTTAGGCGGACACCATGCATCAAAACCACGCAGCCCACTTGGGCCAACATAAAACTATAGTGATAGTGGTGGTACCTGTAGTAGGG